CGTTATAATCCGGTTTAACTGCGCTTTTAGCTTGCATGCACCAACTTACTAATTTATGTTCACATTAAGGTACGATTCAATGGCGTTGCATGCACTTCAGATTATTTTAAATTTTTTTTGCAATGGATTTAGGAATATATTTTTAAATGTTTTAAACGAATTCTTACTTCTTACTGCTTTTTCTGATGTGGCAACATGAACATTAATTTAAGTCCGAACAAGGAAATTCAAACATTTCAAACCGACTTGGAATAACCATGGGTTTTATTAAATTTTCTCTTGTGCAGTTACTACTCACACTAAGGACGCGAATTACACCTTGTTCCAAAGAAAAGACTTTAAAATAAACTAAAGTCGTTTTATTAAAAATAAAATGAAAAAATATACATGTAGATCAACTGACATGCAATTACTGAATGATTGATATCAATGATATGAATTTAAATATAAAACAAATATATACCTGAGTTACATGTAGAATGTTCAAAATTAATATAAAAATTCAACAAACAAGTCCAAAAAGCATTTTGGTGTTACATAAACAAATAATAAAAAAATAATGTTTTCATTCGTGCAATACGAGTAAAAATATTTTCATTCAATCAAAGATGGAACTTGGAAAATTCCATCTTTCACCTCATGAAAATATTTTGGCCATTTCTAAAGAAGCCATGCAGCAGTCAACCTCGTTCCCAGGCTCTTTCCTCTTGTGAAGCAAAGACCCTGGCTGGGGCTGGTCACGTGTCACACGGAAATTTGATCGCTCAAGGGGGAGTAGGCAAAGTATCAAATTACATGCTTCCACTTTCGTACTTTACACTTCTATTGCAAGGAGTGAGTGATTTGTACCGATCAACTTTGAGAATCATATATACTTGCCAAATTTGATTTGTATTTGCTTTTAAATTATAACAATATGCTAAACAGATTTTTATAGCAACAGACAAGTCAAGAAATCAAGCAATAAAAGCGTATGATCGTATTCTTGAAATAGTACTTATGTTCTCGGGCTTGGGCGCACTTTTATTTCACACGTTTCTGCTCGGCATCTCGTTCACCTATTTTTAAAATTTTATGATATGTCACTAAATTGTTGTTTTTTGGAAACGGTATAAACTTTACATAGATTTTATACTTGTTAATTTCAATTGTTTCAATACAGGTCTCAAGAGCGACTGCATGTTTAGGACGTTCGGACGGCAAACGTTGCACATTTGGACACCAGCCAAATAGACATTGAATGTCCATTCTATTGATTCTAAAATTATTTAACTTTTATACGCTATTGATTCTAAAATTTATTAACCTGTTTATATGCTATTGATTTTATTTAATTAAAAGTATTGTTCATTTATATTAAACACTATAGGTACTGTAGGAAGGTACAATACTTGGTAAATCACACTACAGAATTATAAGACAATTGCTGTACGCCTTTTTTGTTTGCACGAAGTACAATATTTATACACAGTATCTACAGATCTTCTATATGATTCTATACTATAGCGATTTACCCCCGCCTTTTATGCATTGCACAGTGAATGCAAAGGAATGATAGCAGATAAGGTTTAGGGAAGTATCTTTCTATTATTTGTTGAATAAAGTGTCTCCAGATTTTGTCAGGGATATATACTGGTACATAATTCATAAACTCCATATACGCACACGGCACCTGACAAAGCCTCGCACAGACATATGAATATATGATAGCATTACTTGATGAGTTTGTATATTAGCATTTTAAAATTTCTATTGATTGGCTGTTTGTCTCCAGTGAGGCATAATTGGATGCTACATTTTAATTCTAAAAAGACAATAATTATATTGATGTCTCACAGCAGGGCAGTATGCGTTTATTTAAAAATACAAGCTGGATCTCATGTAACTCTACGAACTAAAATTTAGGATATTCTGGATAGATCCAGCTACAAAACCAATGGCAATGAAAGCTCTTTATATAATATTTATAATGTGCGGGTGTATATTACTGTAATAAATATGAAATAATTGTTATATACGCATATTATACAATACTATAAATAAATATAAATATTCAAGTTGTACCGCACGCACGGACGAGTCTTTGACTTTGCCTACATCGGATGATACACGTTTGATAACAGAAAGCTATACTTGAACATAATATATTCTTGATCATGGAGTTTCAGCGATGGCCAAAACGGCATATATCACAGTCTCACTCTCCTCCGCAGAGCCTTACGAATTTTTAGTAAAATTGCGTAATATTAGGGGGGGGGGGACAAATTACGCAAGGTATGATGGGAAGACGGAAGCTTGTCAACCATCGATCTCACCCCCCGTCGCGCACCACTAAATATCCTCTACTATCCCTACAAATCCCATATAATTCAGACTCTGCGGAGGAGAGTGTTACAGTCTTTAACGGTCTCTAACAGTCGGGAGAGCATGTTTAGAATTTACACACAGTTCAGTGGCAAGATGACAGGCCGACAGCTAGGATCTCGTTATTTTATAGCAATTCCACATCTCTATACGTAAGGTAAATCCGTTGGGTTTGCGTATCGGTCACAACAGTCACAACGTAACCACATCGTTTGCTCGATCGATCTAGAAGATTTTTACACTTATAGATTGTGTTTTACTGTTTTTATAGCGAAGCGTGCTTTCTTTGCCAAAAGCCTTGTGTCCACTGAAATCTGATCCAACTTCTCGCTTGACCAATGTAACCCAACACTCAATAATACAAAGGACGAAGTCGTGTCATAATAAATACGAAATCTTTCAGGATTTCTTGTTGCAAATTTAAATTTTATTATCCCAAACTATAATATACACAACTACACAAGTTGTCATTTTCCAAACGCGCTCCCCTGTCACCCTACCCTAATAACAATTTTATTTTAGCACGCAGAATCTGCGTGCCACGTGACCAGCCCCAGCCAGGGTCTTTGCTTCACAAGAGGAAAGAGCCTGGGAACAAGGTTGTGCAGCAGTCTCCATCGTTATCAAAGATGTCTATTCTCCCTCGATATTAATTTAAAATATTTTACTGTCACAACAACAAATTTCAACTTACGAAGACAACATGGCCGTTGAAAATATCTGTTGTAAGATTTCCGGAATGTTCTTTGTGTCCATGCAGATAAATGAACGTCCTGCAGGAAGTTGTTTCGATAATCTAGAATAAATTTTATGGAACTAATGAGTAAGAAACGAATTAATTTTGGCGCAATTATTCATTATTTATTTTAAATATTTCCAAAGCATTCAATATTCTTCATTCCTTTTCAAAATAAATCGATTGACAAACATGAGTATCACCAATGTGCATGATTATGTGGTGAACGAGAAGAAACAGTTAGTTATATAGTTGCCCAATGCTCAACATGTCCCAATTCGGCGAAGTGTCTTTCGGCAAAATGTCCTTCGGCAAAATGTCCGGCCACCTAAAACAAGGTGTCATGATAGGGTTGCACTGATAATTTATCGGTTGTTGTGCAAACGAAATGCATTTCATCATTGCGAGAAATGGATGAAAGCTCAAAGATTTTGTGGGATTCTCAACTCAAACAGATCAATGTACAACAAATGCTGTATAATATTTAGATGTGGCATGTCCATTTGATATTGAAAAAAAGAAATTGGAAAGATCGAGAAATATCAAGATGATTTGAAACGGCAGTTGCGATGGAAAATTTCGAAATATTTGTATCATTCCTATTGTCATTGGAGCCCTGGGCTTGCATGTTTATCTAATGCAAAGAAAAAACATGTATCTTAGGAACAGCAAGAATTATTAAAAGAGTGGTGGATATCTACGAGGCCAATGGTTTTGGTCTGATGTACAATGAAAGCTAACAGATCACCTTTGGATGTGTCATAGGTTCTTAAGATTTTCATGTAGACCACATGTTGGGCCGTTGGGCATATTTATCATTTTTATGCCTGTGCATGCCATATCGAGTACCATGGGAGTGAGACGAAACAAAGCGACCCAACGGTTCGTAAAACTTTTCGGTATGATCTTAATTAAGCTTTTTCATGCAACATTCTTTATAATATAAAACAGACACATGCATTTTGTCGTTGTCTGTTCTGTCATAGATACTGCATGGAGGACGCCATAATGTTGCAAAAGTGGCTCACTGCAGTTCTCATCACGTTATGACATCCTCTGTATATCTAGAAATGAACAGACAACGACAAACCACGAACACAAAGAGTTTGGGGCATTAATACGCGACGAAAAGACTTATCCGTTTCCCGTATGATTTGTACAAAACAAATCATGTCATTGGTTCGTGATGCTTCTGAGAAAGCTGTCATTGGCTGAAAAATATTACGTCACCGAAATAGCGTTGTCCGCCTATACAGCTCTCGACCAGAAGGAATGAATTCAGATTATTCTATTAGTGCTTCTTACCTTTCAGCTTCATTGCCCAATGATCCAATGAAGATAATGAAAGCATTTACTCGTGGATTGGATGTCAAAGTTTTAGCCAGTGCAGATGGAGGTATTCCATATCTTCTTAGGTTTGCGTCACTAAATATGATCACAAAATATTCATCTGCCTCTCGCTGTGTCACAGATTCTATCGCTTTCTTGCTTGCCTCGAGAGTATAGTCACCAGTCATACAGAACTGTGCATGCGCGTGCATTGTCTCTAATACTTGTAAACGTTGTTTGTTGTTTACCGGTGGTGCATCTTGGGACACAAACATTATTTCAGGATTCTCCCCAGAATGACCAACAATATCGAACTAAATTGTGGAAATGAAATACATGTTGCTTCTGAACATTTCTATGAAATTGCAGTACGCAGTTGTCGAACTGAAATTTCGTCTCGTACGATACGAGATGAGCAGAACGTCTAGTTCGACTTTACCAAATAACATTATTATGTTTTTCCAAGCATTCCCGCCCATATTTGACACGCCAAACAAATTAGAAGGCTTTTGAATTTACAGCATAATAATCGCATGAAATTCATGTTTATTAGGAATGGCTTAATCTAACAAATCGTTCATGCACATGCAAAACGAAAACCAAAGTGCCAATACCTTAATCAATTTTTAATTCCTACATTATTAATTAAAAATTAGAAACGGATTTGGGATTACAAGAATTTAATAATAGTTTAAGGGTAAGAAATTGCTGCATTTAAATTATATTTGGTTATGATAATTGAGCCACATCTTATACCTTGAATCGTTGTTCATATTTATCAAATGCCTCCATGACAAGACACGCAGCTTCCATCACTCGTTCCAGTCTTCCATCCAACCCGTTAAAACGATACATACTACCGCTGACATCAGCTACCAAACGAAGTTGTTTGGGAAGTTGCTGCACTGATCCTGGCTGGAAAAAGGAAGCTTTAGCATTTGCTTTTGTATCAAAGTCATTAGTTCCATCCTAGTCCTCACGAAACAAAGAACAAAGCTACGTGACAAATCAAATCACTGACCACCGATCTAAAATATATTTAAATTCACTATTTGCGCATCCATTGTGTTACAAAACGATGCCAGACGTCGGCCATTACTAACAGACCAATATAATAAATACTACTACTACTACTAGACCAAGTAATGGCCATACTAACGCATTATGGGAGCTTAAAATCCTTTAAATATGTCGGGCATATTAGAAAGGAATGCACATACATTTAGTCCATAAGTAATGGCGGTCTACACTTGAGATCAGTGGTGTTTACAGTATCAAAATCACTCACTTCCGGTTCTTGATCAGCTCTCTTTTTATAAATTGTCTTCTCTCCTGTCAATCCTTCTATCAACTTCGCGTCATCAAGATCGCCAGAGGTCTGGTGACGAACCCAATGTCTTTCCTGTCCTTTGGCTTGTAAGCTTTCCAAGAGAACGCGAAGGGACTGGACCTGACGTTGAACACGTGATGAAAATTTCTCGTACACTTCAGCTTCGTACTCACTCATTTCAATCTGCTGCAATCTGAAGAATATTAAACCAAATATTAAACTAGTAATACTACATTCAAGAGTCACCTAAGCTCGTCAATATTGTTTATCGCCTCCTACACTGGAAGCATCTACTAGAATAGATACTAATTATTATCATTCTCAGTGATTGAAACCTTGACTTTTATCTCGTTATGGTGACATCAAATGATTTCAAAAATCTTTTACAGGAACTGGTCACCACGTTGATCCATCGTTTCAGAACTCAAACTTTTGCATTGTTTCAAACCCTTAATGAGCTAATGTTGGTTCAGCGAGGCATTTTTTAAAATAAAATTACAGTAGTCCCCCGCTAACTCGAACTCGCTTAACTCGAACTCCTCGCTAATTCGAACAAATTTTGTTTTCCCTTGGTCAAATTTATCCCGTTAACTCGAACTTTGTTTTCGAGTCGTGGACCGCCAAACCTTAAAATGTCAGAACATAGCATTTTGACAACCGGTAACTTGGATTTTTATTCAAATAACAACAATTTAATCGGTGTATAAATGATCATAAATTTTAAGAGATTATACACATAGTTGCGACGATTGTTATTGATCTAATTTTTTTAGTTCCTTTTGTAAATTTCTACATATTTTTCATGTCCAAAGAACTTTAGTTTGCATGGAAATTGCACGCCTCCTCCATCAACCAAGTTAAAAAGATACTGACTATAAAGAACTTTAGTTATAGGAATGCACAATTAAACCTTTTGTAATTTTGATGAACAGTATAATAAAACTTTTATACCTTATTAATTATTAACATAATAAACGAAATCTGACACCAAGTCCGGTTAATTCGAACCCCCGCTAACTCGAACAATTTTTCGTTCCCCTTGGGAGTTCGAGTTAGCGGGGTTCTACTGTATGTTAAAATGATCGAATGAAACACTAGTCAATTTTTTGTTTCTCGAAGTGGAGTCGTTTTATAGTGGCGGCGTTCGCTTAAATGTTTTGCTTTATACATGCAAATCACGTGTACTTTGATGTAATTTGTGCATTTTCCCGCGTAGTATTATGGGCAAACAATTAATGCTTTTAAATATTTGTTCAGTGAAAATGCCAAAGTGCGTGAAAAATTAATTCTTGGTGGGCAATTTCAGCTTACTAATACCACGTCCATTAACATCCAAACCCTAAAAAGACAGCCATGGACCAGCGACTAACTTACATTTTGATTAAATTGTTAATAATTATTATTAACAATTTAATTAAAATCAAAATTTAATGAATAGTCGCTGGTCCATAACTGTCTTTGTTATGGTTGGGGTTTGAATATTAATGATATGCATAGTATTATTCTACGCGTACATACAAGAATTGCTTGTACATTGTCCCTAAATCGAAAATAAAAAATCGGACACCGCCAGTCGATGAGGAATATCGTTTAAAATCATCGTGTCAAATTCCATGACGATCGGACTCAAAATTAAGGAGCCTAACAACAACAACAACAACAACAACAACAACAACAACAACAAGATTAGCAGCGATTGTGGACCAGTTCCTGGTCCAAAAAGAAAATATCTCAATCCAATGTCTCCAATCATGAAATCGAAGCTGTATAACCAAGGTGACGCACTTTCCTGAAACGTTTATTCTAGTAAATTTGAAGATTTCCCTTCACTCTGAAAACAACCAGGTTAAAATCTATTTATTTACTTTAATAAATATTCATAACAATCAATATATAATATCAGCATAATTAAAATATGGGCCAGGAGCCAACTAGAAACCTAATTTGGTTAAACTCAATATGACACAAATTTCTTTCATTTATCTTTATAACAGGTCTTGCCAAGAATTTGGGTTGATTGAAACAGAATCTCCTGATTGCATTAATCAGCATGTGGTAAGTGGATATACAACCAGGCACCTAATTAGAATTTAACCCTATATCCAGATTAAAATTAACCAGAGTATTTTTAGAGTGTACTGACCTATATAGTATACCTGGATAAAATGCCTAACCTTTCTTTAAATGCTTTCTGTCCCATTTCTCTCGCGGCTCTCTTTACTTCTTCTGGTACAGCATCTTTCTCTTCATCAGTGATCTGGGAAACATCATGTCCTGCATCCAACCTATATGGTCCTCCTTTCCCCCCGAGTCCTGCAGTATCCCTACCTCCAGTGCCACCAGCCCATGTATTGCCACCAACGTGAGGTTCGTTATTGGGGTCCACCTGATGGAGAAAATTAATCATGATATGTTTAGTTTAGTTAGGTTCTGACTTATTTAGTTCTGTTTAGTAAGTTAACCTGGTTATTATGGTCCACCTGACACGTGATCATCACGAAGCCACACGAACACGTTCTGTGATTGGTTAATTAAGAATTGGTTCACAAGCACTGATCACTTTTGTTTGCGGAAGATGATAAGCTGCCAATTCAGGGTTTCCACTGCGCATGATCTAAATGACGCGTTCTACGTCGGGACAAATTGCAGTTGAATCAAAACATGTAGCTGAGACTGGAAGCATTAAAATGTCAAATATTCAACTGTTTAATCATTATTTGTGTTTTGCATGTACCAATAGAACTGTCCATTAAATCATTTTTGTACAAGCATATTTTCTCTTCTGTGTAAAGCAAAATAGAGAAATTTTCTAATTTGAAGCGAGTTTCTGCATATTCAAATGATGACTGAACAGTTGAATATTTTGATATGCGTTTGCTAATTCTTCCAGTCTACATGTTGTGATTCAACTGCAATTTATCACAACGCAGATGCAAATGGCTTATCATAAAACATGTTCATTTTAGCTTTGTGCTTACTGCTGACAGAACGTTGTTCACATTAAAGTTAAAACTACAAGTCATATAAACCATACCATGACATACTGCATTTCTCTCGTTTAAGCCGGTTTTGCGTGCGGAGCGAAATTTTTCTTTGTCTTGTAATTTCTCTTGGGTGGAACTAATTAGAAAAGACAGGGGAAAATCCCGCTCCGCGCGCAAAATTCCGCCTAGTCGAAAACAGGTTTTAGTTTAGCTAAACTACTCAAGCGTAGTTTAAAAGTTCAGCCTACATATGTATATTTGTTTATTTGAACTTTTATCCTGCCATGCAGGAGACTGAGAATGAAATGGAAAGATATTGTAAAAAGAGACCTCAGTGTTAACCAGTGATGCGTTAACCACCGTTAACCGCATAATGTAAAGACGACCTTATAAAAGTGAGGTGAAGATTCAGCAAAAGCACACATGCTGTAACAAGATATAAACAGTGAAATGTTTTTCTCTGCTTACCTTTCCATGTTTTGGTCGCGTGACATCCAGGCCACTGCTTCTCTCGTGGGTTACCTAATAATAAAAAACAAAAGGAAGGTAAAAACAACTATTGAGTGGACTATCTAGTTGTATCTTCCTGATAGCCATTGCAGTTTCAGGTAATTTTTAGCCAGGGTTTCGTTTTAGCCAGGGCTTCGGTGGCGCCGTCGTCAGAGCGACTGCCATTCACTTCTAACATCAGTTCTCCGGGTATTTCAATGCCCTCCACAGAGAAAGTTGACAGGGTAGATTGCTGGCCCTACATCAGCGTTAGCTGAGAGGAACCATATTCGTCTTAAATAGATGACATTATCATCGATAGTATTTTAAATAACATTATCATCGATATTATTTTGTCCACAGAAACTACGACGTTACTGTACGAAGTAACAAACATGTTAATTTATACGAACCTGCAATGAACCTGATTCGTTCTCATCTCCCACCAACGTTTTCCACTCAGAAAACGACTTCTGAAGGTCACTAGTACCAGTCTCCCACAGGCGCACCGACCCATCAGAATTAACAGAAACTAGGACGTCATTTGATAAAGAGTCGATCAAAACTTCCTTTGTTGTCCATTTTGTATAAAAATCTTTCTTCTTCACGTGAGGTAGAGACAAGTAACGGACTGAATTCTGTGATATATCTACCACTTCTAAATGATTTGACAATCTCTTCTTCTCAGTCTTAGTTTCCTGGTTTGTGGTTTCGGACGGGACGAGTGATGGAGGAATAATTCTGACCACTTGCCCAACATTAGAAAGACATAATGGATTTGGATACATTTCTTTTGAAATTTTGTTGGAAATATTTTCTAAAGAAAATAATTTAGGGATTTCTACTTGATAAGTTATAGACAGTACAAAAATCCAAAGATATAAAAAGTCAACACAGAAACAACTCAGTTAGAATTTTCTAATAAAGTTTCTATACGTTTTACTTTCTGTCGCAAATTCGTCGGGGTTTTAATGTGCTTTGCCGAAAATCTGATAATTTCAAACATGAATGCAAGCTTTGAGAAAGCAAATCATGAATAGAAAACATAAAGTATGCTTTTTATTTTAGACACTGAAAATATGCACTGACAAGTGCAAAGTGTTATTTGAATGCTACCTGGAAGAAGTATCACAACGAACGACGGCGTTCTGAAAGTTAGTAGTGACGAAGGGACTTTGCTCAAAACGTCAACCTCGTTTCAAGTAATGGCATCCTAAGGCTATCTGCTCGAATATTGGTCAGTTCTGGCTACACTGGAATCAAAAGTAAACGAAGTGTGCCTACCTTGTTCACCTCCTTGTTTCCTTGGATAGGAGTAAAAGCTGAGTGGATATCGTTCCCGTACTTTCGCAGGATTGCTGACTGCCAAACTTGCTAAGTTATCTCCAGTAGCAATCAGACGTACAGTACTTGACGAGAAATCTGGCATAAATACTTCTGGAAGATGACTTTGACAACTTTCCAACACATCTTGCGGCAATGCACTAGCCGATATTTTATCTAAAACCAACTGCGGTTCACCTGAGGTGTCTTGAACGGTTGTAAGTAAGTTAGGAATCTGAGTTCCTTGCTCGCTACTTAGAATATACATCGCATTTGTGTCCTTTTCATTTAAAATCCACATTTTTTCAGAGACAAGATGAAGTTGATCAATAATAAAAGGCAAGGATATGGTGCACTCTCTTGCAGTATCAAAATCTATCAACTGAATTTCTTTTCCATCATCTGGGTACACCACTAAGGAATTTCCTAACGTCTTATCGTCACACATGTTGTACTTCGTTTGTTTAAACTGCTTGGAAATAGTCCGTGTCAAGGAATCAGTTTTTACAGCAACCTGTTGAAGTTCGTTGTTACTTGGGTTAAGTAAAAGCATCGTGTTTGATTGCTGTTCATGAAAAATAAGTTGACCTTGGAATACATCCCCACTCAAAGCAGCAACTTTGATCTGAGGAGATTGGTTAAAATAGTTGTAAGGAAAGAGAGGAAATAAGTCAGTGCAAATAACGAAATTCTGGTTCGTCTGCATTGAATACATCACAAGAGGATTAGCTGTTGCCACATGGAGCCAATCGCCACCAACACCACCTGAACACAAAGTCAAAGAAACAATGTTGGTTAATGTCATATACATCGATAATGTGTGATAGGAGATGTAATTTCAAAAGTGACATCTTGAATGTAGGCGTTGAAATATTCAATAATTTGGTTAAAGTGGCTCGATACAGTTTTCAAATATTCAGGTGTACAACAGTCAATAGTTTGACATTTTTAAACTTCGTATTTTTGGGTTTTGTGGAGCAGATATCGGATGGGCAGTCGATTAATACATTTTACTGATCTTCGTGGGGTGGGGCAATATAGGAACAGAAAGGAATATTACAGTAATAATTGTAATAATATGTACCTTCACCCACTGCCATATCCAGGATGATACTGGACTCATACAAAGGTAACATCCATTCACTCAACAATTCAGTAAAACCTGTCGCCCTTGCATTATGACGATCTACGTCGAAACGAGGACACTCGATCTTCAATGGTTTCTGAAAATTGTAAATATAGATTAAACACGATTGAGAGAAAATTTTTATGAGTGCCCTGTTAATTTCAGGGAGTTAATTACTCCATAATTAGAGTAAAATTGGGTTCAAAATAACTTCACTGGAGTTAAATTAACTCCCTGAAATTAACAGTGCCATGAGTTTTCCTTTTGAGGTAAAATCAGAAGGATCATTACTCCTGTTTTCCATTGCTTTGAGCTCCTTTCCTCGGTTTCTCATTTATAGAAATTGTATATTTTGTTACATTGTATTGCTGTATAATTCTTCTTTCTTTGAAGGTCGAAGCACAATTGTATTTTTTGTATTGTAGAATACTTCCTAAACTTGACACATATACGTTTGAAATATCAATTCACATAACTATATATGCGAACCTTGAAAACAAGCGCCTGTTCTTCTACTAAGCACGAAATATCTTCACCATCCACAAAACTCCAGTTGTGAACTAAACTTGGCTTAGGAAGTGGGAATCTTCAAAAAGAAATTTAAACACACGCTTCACTTAAACACACCAATAAGAAGTAATATGGCCTATATATTGTGTAGTGCATGGCAAAAAATCAATTAACAAAGACTGTTGCTGACCCGGAACATATTTAACAGTACGGAGCCTGAATATTTAATAACTGTTGCCCATCTAGGCTGCGAGGCTATTCCTCTGTTGAATATGTCATGAGTGCGCCATGCACGCATTCTAAACATCCGGGTCGAATGGCCCCTAAATTATTCCTTAATAATAAACTACTTGTACAATACTAACCATTAGAACAATAAATTACAGAGACTTCAAGTTTTTTATTTTAACATCATTTTTGCTATAAATTTACATAAAATCACTTTTTTCCTTATTTCATTTTGCGTTGTACCTTGATTGTTATTCACGCAGTCATACATGTGCACATAATACATTTACATACCAAAAAACTGATACATTATAAAAAAATTAAAATAAGCAAAAATATATTTAATACTACCTAACCGCTAACGTATACGGAAGTCCAGGTACGGAAGTTCAGTCGCATCGTTCTACATCGTTTAAATCACAGCAATATCTTTTTTCTTAAGAATTATTTCTAAATCTGAAACTACACGTGTTTACCGTTTTCCTGCTTACTCTTTAGTTAACTTGACATCTCGTACTGTAACCCCAACAGGAATACCATGTTTACGTAACGTTGATAAAACTGTCTTCTGTACATCTGGATGGTAACTATCAAAATCAAATACGTTACGAACCACTTGACCCAAGCCATCTTCAGGATATACCTAATGAATAATAATAAATGTCGTTAGTACTGTCAAAGAACTTTCGTAACTGTATAAGCTTTTATCACATCGCCCGACGCGGCAATACAAACCCGAAAGCCTTGTCATGTAGATGGGGGTGGAAATCTCCAATGAGATTTGGTATATATACCCAAGCGATTACAAACGTCAGCATACTGAGGTTGTGTGTGTTCCAGGTACGGAAGTAAAGGTATTACAAGTTGGCGCATTTAATTTGGTGGAAAAAGCTGGAAAAGAAAGCTGGTTGAATTTTGGGGTCATTCGGGGGAGAATTATGCAGAAAAAGTACAACTTAGCTGTCTATATTATGTGAGGTTTTGACCCTGATCCATTCAGTAATGTGTTGCAGAAATATGCTCGAGTTTTAGAGAAACGTACACATGAGTAAGCCATTCGTCAAAATTGGATATTGGATATTATGAGGGAAGGTCCTTCACTCAAAACGTCGAAGTTTTACTTGTATTTTTCAGATAGTTGAATCCCTCTCAATCCGCAGCTTTCTGCATGTGTTATTGCGGGCACAGACCGTTAGAGTTATATCACAGGTTAGATATATTTATTATATACACAAGGTCTGGATATGAGGTATTCTGCAATCTGATTGGTTCTCTACTAGCAGGATATTAGCTCATATCCTGCTAGTAGAGAAAAACAAAATGGCGACTCGAACTGAATTTCCGACGTTTTGCGAACCAGAAAACGGCAAGTTGTTCGCTTTTTATAGCCTTTACAGGATTAAAAACACAATGAAAAAACTCCCACAAATTGTTTACAGGTTAGCAAATGAATTTTTAAAATTTAAAATGTTTAGAAATATATATTTTTGAAATATTTTGAATAAAAGCGAATGAGCGAATATTCGACTCGAGTTCGTAGAATAACTATTAAATATATAGGCTCTTTCTTAAATATTGAGAATTAATAAGCCATACTTGTAAATGCTTCACGACGTTGACAACTTCTCTCGTTGAGTATGGATAAGCTATTTGTCCGAGATCTGCCATATGACGTAATTCTGAGAATGCATCCACGAGCATTGATAACACGTTATGTGGAACATCTGGTCCATATTGTTTTAACATTTCCTAGAATAGATATAATTTCACACCTAAATATTAGTAAAGTAAATATCTTGTTTAAATGCGTTTGCGTCATGCATAGATGAGCATTTTTGGTAATATATACAGCATGAGCGACCGTGTTGTATTAAATATACAAACTCGAGCCAAAAACAAGAGGTTGTATGTCTGATAACGCGAATGCTGTATTTAGCTTGTGAAGTGCAAAAGCCGATTTACACAACACAACTTTTGCCTAAAACTGTCGCATGTAACCTGCTTACAACTTGAGTTGTACTGTGTAAATCAAGCATACAACTCACTTATGACAAGATATGCGAGTTGTATGTTGATTTACAAAGTACAACTCAAGTTGTAAGCAGGTTGCATGCAACAGTTTTAGGCAAAAGTTGTGTAGTCTCCATCTCCTGATTTCCACTCAAGAAAATTTTTCGCGGAAAGAAAAATTTGTAAAATGTGATTGCCGACACAAATTTTCCGTAGGAAAAAAATTTTGTTGTTGAAAAAATTTTGTTTTTTTGTTGAAAATTTTCAACTTTTAACAATTATATCTGCGGAAAATTTTCTGTCCGTGGAAATTTTTCTTGAGTGGAAATGGTCCTTTAAGGCGGTTTTCCACTAGGCGAAATTTTTCGACCGAATCGAAATTTCTCTTTGCTTCAGAGCTCTCGAGCAGAACTAATTGTAAAAAGACAAAGAGAAATTTCGTTTCGGTCGAAAAATTCCGCCTCGTGGAATCCGGCCTTAAAGGCCTGATTCCACGAGGCGGAATTTTTCGACCGAAACGAAATTTCTCTTTGTCTTTTTACAATTACTTCTGCTCGAGAGCTCGTGAAACAAAGAGAAATTTCGATTCGGTCGAAAAATTTCGCCTAGGCGAAATTTTTCGATCGAACCGAAATTTCTATTGTTCAAATTCAAAAGATTCCTTGTTTAGTTCCATCTGAGTGTTTGTAAGACAAAAGAAAATTTCGATTCGGTCGAAAAATTTCGCTTAGTGGAAAACTGCCTTTAAGGATTTCAACAGTTGTGTTTTAAGAAATTATCCAAAAAGAAGCGATTTTAACTGAGAAAATTGAGGAAAAAAGTTTATGCAAAACAGGAGAATTTTGTTTAATACAACCCCTCATTAAGCATTAATTAGTTTTGGATTTTCTCATGAATTATTAATGATTACCATTTCAGATTCTTTATCAGGATTGTTGATTGCGTGGCAGCTAAAAATGTCACCTGAACAAACATGAGAAATAATTAACTATTTCCGCAACACTGTATCATTGTCAGACGTAAACAAAAAGGGAAGGGAGAGTTGATGGCAAGGTGGTTAGTGTCTTTGCCATCGGGTTTAAATACATGAATTAGGAATCCCGCAAATTGTGTAATTTTGTTTAATGTGCGATTTGATAAATGAAAAATCTCGCGTGTAATAGCAAAACCTTGAGTGATGGTGTGGTAAAATCTCACGATTTGCCGGAACAACGTTTTCCTGCAATACGCATTTGTTTTACTGCAAGTTTGGAATACCAAGGGATGGCTCTCGCTGGACCTCTGGGCAGTCTGAGGAGAACGATACCATTTAATAGGTTAACCAAGGCTAAAGGCCTGATTCCACGAGCGCTTTCTTCCGCGAAATGCGAAACATTTTGCGCGAAATGAATTAGGTGCATGCGTAATAAAGATAAACTAGGCAATTCGCGATAAAAAATTTCGCTTCATCAGTGAGTACAAGTCAGTTCAACTTACAAAAGAAAAAAAGTGGGAAAATTTTTTCACGAAAGAGAAAAAGTGGGAAAATTCAATATAGAATCACTCATGTACAACCATCCATATTTCGCAAACACAATTTCGCGCGAAGAATTTCGCCGTCGTGCATCGAATGAAGACATAAGGTTCCAAATCTGTCTGCCTTTTCAATAACATAATACGCACGTTGATCTTCAACAATTTTAAATTTACTATCTCTAATCATGAAATACAAAACTAAAAGAATTGCATGGATTCATTACAACATGATGTTATTAAGACACTAAAAGTTTACCCATAGCTCCAAAGAAATCGTTTCCCAGAAAGGGAAATCCTGGTCTATTTGCCAAAACGATAACTCTGAAATCAGGATGAGTTTCAATAACATTGTCGGGAAGAGGATGGCGTAGGTGACCAGCTGAAAAATACAATATATCAGCGGATATTAGTTTAGCTAAATATAGTTGGTAAAAAGAAAATAACCTAGAAACTTGAATCACACTTTTAATGCTATTATATCTATTCTCACATAAACCAAACTGACAAATCCGCAACTGTTCTGTACAGTTAAACACATCATTCCACTTGTAATCTGTGATCTAATAGCTGATAGAGCTGTGATTGGCTTACATATATTTTACGTCATGGAAATGACGTCATAGGTTTTTATATTTCACTTTACCTGGTAAAACACGTCTGCCATCTCCTAAAATCATCTCTCCACTCTCAACAAGTGTTTTCAAAACACAAGTTACATTAATCGGAGCTTTATCAGCCTCGTCAATCAATAAAACATGACCAAACTTCAATGCTTGCACCTGAAAAATATAAAACACAACTATAGATAAATTCATCTGCATATACATGAAAACAGATACTAGAAGGAATTATACTGAATTCCACAAAACTACTTACAATGCCTCTTTTTCATGCATGAGGTACCAGATTGTTTAGTGTGTATGCACCCCACTTGTATTGTCTTGACAATTTTAATTGTAATTTTAATTCATTTTAATTTTAATTCAATTTTAATTCATTAAAATGATTTTGAATAAGAATTTAGATTTCAGGTAGTAAGTCCCAGTCTGTGGCGAATATCTTAAAATGAGACTTAAAGTCCTATAAAACCGGACAAAATTTATCCTGCCCCTCGACTGAATAAGTATGTACATCGTTAGGTTTAACAGGACCAGTACCAACATAACGAAATATGGTTATTAACTTCCTCATGAATTACTATGGGTATGAGATAAAAAAAGTTTCTTAGACTGAATTATTAGCAGAATCTGCCATAGTCTACACAGTAATTGTTGTTGCTGTTAAGGCAGCACGCCTTCACGTGTGCTGAGACAGCACGCATTAAAGAAGTATTATTGATGTAGTTTAGCTTCCTCCGTAGGTATTGCCTTTAGTTTGGCGGGAACCCAAGCCAGGTGAACTATACGAGATGTCTGTGAATGAGGTTAGATGTAGTTATTGCTATTGTGCTGATTTCATGAACAAGGAAAGTACAATATCAAAGTACCCACCAGCGGTGAATCTTCATACACAATGACGCCATTATGAACCGTTGGTTGCAAGGTTAAAGTTTGTACGGTAGTGTCCCTATATAGAATAAAAGCAAGGAATATTATTAAATACATAGATTTAAATTAACGAAGACATATTAAAATTTTAATTATACATGTAAGCTTTTAATTGAACCTTGCTCTACTCGCAATCACATATCGGTAAAGTTAAAAAAATATTAAAGTAGTATATTGCTATATAGAAGTTTAAAGCGGTACACAGGACGGATTTAACGGTCGAATTGCATGTCTATATCACAGAATATAAAACTATAATCACAAGTTAAATATTACCATATAAGCATCACTAATAATACAGTACAATCATGCCCACTGATAATATAATATAATATATATAACCATCACTCCTAATATAACCATCACTGCTAATATAACCATCACTGATTCTCACCTGTGTAATTGAATGTACTCTCTTGGCCTATTTAATAGCTGAAGAAATTTGTCCACAATTTTGTTTTTGCCAACTCCCTGAATGAAAAAGCAGGAAAAATCATGCTAATACATTACTCTAACATTGTTATATCACTAATGAAAAGATGAAAGATAAGTATAGTTTCTATCAAAACCTGATTTCCAACAAGTAGTAAATGTTCCCCAACTCGAAAGTCTTTTAACATGTTTTCCATTACTTCAATATGCTGAAAAAGAATTAAACTAAAACTAAAGAAGAAAATAAATTTCCATTTTATCACGAGCTTGATAAATTGACGTTGTTGTAGGGGCATAGGAAGCTGACAAGGGGGTGTGTATGAGCCCCCTAATGTTGAATAAGGGAGGGGAAATGTTTCGTCCTTGCAAACAAAATCCTCGAATTTAACAAAATCGTCGAATTGAAGCTAAAAATATGAAAGTATAAAATGAGTATAAAAGTATAATCCAAAAAAATCTTTTAGTTGACAAACTGTGTAAAGTTCTTCAAAGAGTGCCAGTTTATCAAACTCATTGGTTGCTTTGATCAAGAGATCAAATTTCCTAAATACTAACCTGATAATTATTATAAAATAAAGTATCTGGCACTTTAGTTTTGTTCGGAGCATTGTAGATTTCATGTTGTGTTTGACCAATTTGAATATATCCCTTCACATTTTCGCCTAAATTGAAGATATTTCATGAAGTTATTTAAATTAATTACAGAGTGTGATCAGTAGTAAATTTCATATTAATTCTTATGAATGACATCTGCAATGAATTTCAGGTTGACTGTCCTCTTCAAAGAATTCCTAAAGCAATTATGCTATTAAAGGTTTTCATAATCTTTCATCGATATTTCAGTTTGTTTGTTATGCAAATGAACTGAATCCAAGATGCCATATTAATATGCTTGGGCTTTAGATGTTGTTCCAATTTCGTACAGTCATTTAAGGCTGATTTCCACTAGGCGGAATTTTGCGCGCGGAGCGACATTTTCCGCGCGGAAACTGAAAAAGTTGAACTGCTTTCAACTTTGTGGCTGCGGAAAATGTCGCTCCGCGCGCAAAATTCCGCCTAGTGGAAATCAGGCTTAATATGCATGGTATAAAAGTCCTAGAAAATTCGGACACTCCCAGATTTTCAAAAAGAAAATTTTGTCCTGTCGTCGGGGAGAGTAGTTTACATAGAATTGATAAAACAATTCAGTAATAATGCAATACTTGATGACATCTATTTAAAATACTAAAAAATCAATAAATACCAGTAATGTTCAGTTCCTTTGGTGTTTCAGACGTTATGCTGACAATTTTGTTGATGCCCATTCCTTTCATCGCATCTTCTAAAGCAGTCTTAGCGAGTGATGGAAGAAACCTACAACAGAAATGGTAGATTCTAAGCTGTAAACGATAAAACTTACAAAATAAGTGTCAATAGTGTTCGAGTAAGTGGATGTTGATCATATGCAGGTATTCAACCGTATCGCCTCTTACTAAAGCCAGAAAAGGATTGGCGCAAATGAGTTCATGATTGCGCAATCAAAAAGGTTTTGTGATCCGTGACCCATTTCTTCCTCTAGACTGAGGAAACATTACGAATTACTAATGAATAATTTCATATACAGTACACTCAATGGTAACGGTAGCGCAAGTCAAATATGAGCTCGTTTAATATCCAACAATCGATGGTTGGTTATAATATATTCAACATATAATATATAATATAGACGAGCTCAGATTTGACTTTCCACTACCGCTACCATTAACCAATCAGATGAGTCTAATCTACCCGATTAACCAATCAGATGCGTCCAGAGTCAGTGATATAGGTAAGTCAAATCTGCACCTCTCTATAGTAACAGAAAGAACTTACTCTGTAAGGCAAGCGCGGTTTATGGTTTGATACAGATCTTCAGATGGATATTCAGCGATACGCTTGGCAATGCGTAATAACTGTCTGGTGGAAAATGACGGGGCGATTGATGACAACTGAAAAATAAGAAAAAAGTATTACTTCCATTTAGGATTACTTGATGAGGAATTTGGTATTGGCTGTATGGCAACATGATTTTAACTATACCACTGAGGTACTGAGAGTAAAAAGAACATGCACGATTCCATTGATGGCACAGCGATTAAAATGGAACAGTACTGAAATTTAAGGCTGATTTATTAATTATCACGATTTTAGGCATCTACATTCGATAGAACTAATTGTTGAAGGGGTTTGTAGATGGAAATTTCGCGTGTGAATTTTATAGAATTATTAGACCTAGAAAAATGAAAAAAAATGCACTATATAGGGCCGCAGGTTCGATTCCTGCCAGAGGACCTTATTTGCATTTTTCGCAACTGCTCGTGCTTAGGTTTAATAAATGTATAAAATTCACAATTTCCTCCTTTGAAAGGGAGAGAGCTTATTAAAAAGCTCCATTTTAATAAGGGGCTGAATATAATTAGAGAATTTACTTGAGAATGCAGTCTTATGTTATAACATCGCCACAACCGAATGAGAGATGACGTAGCGCTTTGAGTTTTACTACCCCAAATTTCCTTCGAGTACGTCGACTTTCTCTTGTAATAACACTATAGATACCCAGTAGCCAGTGTCCCTTACTCGATCTTTAGAGAAACAGTTAAGAATTGATTATCAAGAGCCATCCAGTAAACAAAGTTAGTTTTCAATTTTTATACAACTTATCATCGATATTTTCTCTGGAGACACATATTAAATGTCTTTGAGTGGTAGTTTGTCAAAAGGTAAATACCATTGAATTGTTTGAATTTCTAAGTGTTTCGGCCATGTCAAGGACAATTTTCATCTTATCATTAGCAACATTTGGAACCTACAAAATAAAATATAATTGGTTCATTTATTGCCTAAGGGCCAAATTATCCCTGGCAAGAATTTAAAGGGTGCACAACATTTGGGGAATCCGTTTGAGGTTGGGTTCCACTTCACGTTGGGGCTGTTGTAGGTTCCTTTCACGTTTGGGGCATATCTGGCACCGTTTCTGCTATCTAGAAATGACATCTTTCGCCCCAGCTGGTAAATTTTGGGCACAACTCTCTCGTTGGCCTGTACGAAAATATGTTCTTAATAATTTTATAGTACCAGATTATCATTTTCCGCTGGGCGAAAATGTTCGTGCGACGCGATTCGAAAAATAAGATCAGCAATGCGATTGGTTAGGGACAGGAATATTAAGATCAGTTTGTACCTTTTCACGGCGAATATTGCGCTTCTTTTCGCTTTGTTTCCCGCGAAAAAAATTGCCCCCTTCGAGCTTGTCCCCTGAGCGTTTGTAAAAATGTAACGCTCTCTTATATTCCCCACTCATGGTTCGCGCCTTACCAAGACTGGAACTGGAAGGTTATCAACTTCCAAATTAATTTTAAAACAGATTGAGAAAAAATGACAATATACCATTTTAAATACAATTTCAGCTTCTTCATTCTTCTCCAAAGGCTCGATATGATGATAAAGGAATAAAGGAAGTAGTTCTGAGTTCAACCATTGATTCTGACTGCTGTTTATCTGAGGCGGCTCAGCAAGACCAATGAGACGAAATGACGGATGAATACGATACACTTTTCTAAAAAGACATGTAATTATCGTTAGCTATAGTATAATTTGGGCCCGCAGTAATTGGCTGATCACGTTGCAGTCACTCTGCCAAAGATAATTTAGCTAAGTTTATTTATAAATGTAAACTAATGCCGGTGAAGCTAGTAAATAGAAAAAATATGATGTATTTTCTGCACAGACCTGGGTTTTATGCACATGCAGTGGTAAGTGCATATGTCTTTCACTTCTGCGACCAGGTTCAAAAATTGACCAATAACGGCCGATGGTCCTTACAGGACTTCTCGATAGAACAGTTCAGTATAGAGATTCCCTGTATGACTTCGGTACTTAAATCTCATAATTATGCATAGAAATTGAGTCATTTTGGGTTTTCCAAAGGGCCCCAAATTTTTAGATAAATGTTGTTAATTGACATTTAACATTTAACATAACACGTATTTGTCCGCTCGACCACTCATCGTTATCATCGGCTCTGCCTTAGGGAAAAATGCCATCTTGGTACCACAAAATACACAACATGCAGTAAGAATGCTGTAAGCCGTATTTATAGTCAGCTTTTCAGTGACAAGATAACATTATGCAATATCATCTCGTGGACAACTTTTCAAACCACTAAATGTGACTTATTCTTATGTTGCAAAATATTACATAGGCCTAATAGAATATACACTATCGGAATAAATATATGCCGTGACGGCGTGACCCTTACTTTTCGGCGAGCTGTTCTTCAGAAAGACCAGACTTTTCTTTAAGCAGTTTGTAGCGGTCAGAACGTAATAATTGACTACCGTCATATAACGAGATTTCACGATCACCAATTAGTCTGAAAATAGAAGATATCATGCATGCGTCATATTCCACTCATTTGCTTTAAACTGGTATAGTAATATATACAGCTAGGAAAAATTCCTTTGGTATTCAAAAACTTGCGTATGTGTGGAAGTGTTTTCTTTCACTATATACGCAGCTTATTCTAGACATGCAATGTTAAGGTCTGTCTGTCTGGTATACAATCTCAAAAGCCTAAATTAATAAATTGCATGCACATGTTCTATAAAACGTGGGATCAAATTGGAAAGTAAAGTAGTTAATATACTGAAGGATATATTGTAGGTTAGTGTACTGTAGTTTTGGTGTTAGGGTAAGAATTAGGTTCAAGGTTCAAGAATTAGCTTCTGTGTTAAGTTCAGAAAGGTTAAGAAGATTGATTCCAGAAACGTTTGAATATATAACTTTCCTGGATGGCTATATGCAAGTAAAACGTCGACGTCATGATTATGCAATACGTCAGTTCGATATGATCCAACTCTGCATGATCGTGTAGTATAGAGGCTATTATTAAATTTATTATTAGCATGGCAAAATTACTGGATGCTGATTGGTTGAGAGGAGTACAATTATTTCATTAATTGTATTGCGGCACAATTAATGATTTTCCCCAAACAAACAAAACGGCGGAAAGGTATTTTGAACACAAATGTAAAATGAAATTGCCCTTGAGGAACTAGATGAAAATACGAACAAAAGCACCAAATTTTGCTTTAACAAAATATCTAAATGAAAATACGAACAAAAGCACCAAATTTTGGTTGAACGTCTGGCAGGACTGGGCTTTGGCGAGAGAATATGATGTTGACATTGATAAGTATCCAATTTTGTCAACAAGTAATCATATACGATGTCGCCCGTACAATTAGGGATTAATAGTACGAGTGATGTTTGGAAATTTTGCCAAAATTGGACGAGCCGCCGGGGCGAGTACCTATACTAATACTGTTTAGAATTTGTGAGCTAATATAGTTCATATTTATAGACAAACCGTTGTAAAACAGATAATGTGCCAGGGTTAATTCGATGTATCCCATCAAGCAGTGCAAGATGACCCTCAGTCGCAGCAACAATCAATGGCGAAGGTCGCCATATTGTGTCACCATTTGGTAATGTTGTACGTTGTTGTAGAAGGTCCCGTGATGTCATATCCTAAAATCATAAAATATGTCTATATTTCTGTTATGTTGCCTATTAACCACTTTTGTATATCGATATTTTACACAGAACAGCCATAATACAGCAATCTGTTATCTTTATACACTCCAAAGTCCTAACTCTGATGACCTAACCTAATTTAAACTGCGATTTTAAGCCATTATAAGACAAGTCACCCAACCACTTGAACTTCAATAGTAATTTGAAACATACTGTAATGTCACAAGATTGCAAATAAGAGTCCTGCGCATGAAGTTAATAGCGACAGATCATGCTATGCAAATTCTTAATGATTTGCATTCTTTAACTTATTTAGATAGTGCAAGTTTATTACCACAACATGACCAGTTGTCATGGTCAGCTTCGCCACTTCAATTACCTGATGAAGTATAACTGGTTCAATTTGATAACCAAGAAGTCTGGCAAACTGATGTACCAAAACACTTTTACCACAACCCTAAAGAATACGGCGAAAAGAATACATATAAAAATTTAAAAGTAAAGGATACCCGAGGTTCATGGGTACAATCGACGGTAATGTGAGTCAATTTTGGGTTTTTTAACGTCCATGAATGACAACTTAAGGCCCGTCCGTTTACACGGGCGATTTTTGCTGCGATTTTAGGGCGATTTTCTTTTTCTGATGGATGTGAAGGAGTGGACGAGTTATAAATGTTTCAGGTTATGAAATTTCATAACAACGTCATTAAGGTTACAGGACACACTTTTTGGCGTTTTGCGGAAAATCGCTACTTCGCGCTCAATAATTATTCAGGAAAATCTTAAATCGCGGTACCGTTACGCTTTTGAGTTGTGCTCCTGCTGGTTTTAAGTTATATTTATGAAAATATAATTTTTATACAGCAAAATAGTTGTTCTAAAAAATTGTGTTCGGAAATTTTTGTTTATTTCGTCATTGAGATGATATGGCGATTTCTTTGACGACTGTAATATATTTCTGAATTGTTTGAGTGAATTGCTCTTTATTTTTAAAATATCCAAAATTAAAAAAAAAAGCGGAACACAATTTTGAAACTGACGTCTTTAGCTATGTCCTGTGAAAATTTGAGAAAAATTGGTTAAAGCCCGCAGGAGAACAACTCGTTTGAAAATCAGTAATTACCGTAAAATTCTTTGGGAGAAAATTGAATTTGAATAATACATTTTCAATGTTTTTCTTATTGCAGCGAAATGTATTTTATTAAATAACTCTGCGAGTTTTCAACATTTTTCGTTGAAACTTGGTCAGATAGTAGAACTGGTCTAATGCTTCATGAAAACCAATAAAAAAATTTTAGGCAAAATTAACACTCAAATTAGGTGTTCTGTAACCATAAGTAATCTAGTCCTTCATATTCTCCAAAAGGAGAAAATCGCAACTAAAATCGCAGCAAAAATCGCCCGTGTAAACGGGCCTTTAGGGGGCTTCGGTGGCGCAATCGTCAGAGCAAGCGCCATTCACCTCTGAGATCATGGCTTCGATTCTCGCTACGGACTCGTGTGAAAAGAGTCGTGGGTTTTCTCTGGGTGCTCCGGTTTCCTCCCACAGGGCAAGTTGGCAGGGTGAGTTAGGATAAACACAGTTAGGAAAGTAAGATCACAAAGATAAATAGTCTAAGCTAAGTCAGTAACATAAGTAAGCGTAATACTTGATGATGGGGAGTGAACTGAATAATAATAATAATGTAATGTAATGTAATAATAACTTGAAATACTTACCTTTGGACCGATTAAACAAAAGTCGTTGATAACATGAGACTGAAACATGTCCGCTAATATTCGGGAATGATAATGTGTCATAATAAACTCCTATAGGAAAGGAATCAATAGAACGCTAGGACAAATATTCTACAGGATTCAAGATTTTGAGTTTTCCACTTTTTTCAAGTCTGCCAAGTTTTGTAATTACATTAATTTTACCTTTTCTTCCAGAGGTTGTAATCCCAAACTTCCTTCGCTGCCACAATTAACTTCTAATGTACTCATATCATTTCTTCCTTCCAGAGCAACTGATGCTTTGTGATCCGATCTAGTCACACTTTTCAAACGATAAGGCTCGTTTCTACTGGCAGGAGCGTCGTCAAGATGAAACGTCTAAAAAGCGGGAAAAAACACAAATGAAAATAAACGATCAAAATGCAAAATATTTTCTTATATAAAAGCAATTTTAAAATATCACGACATGGCCAGAAATCACGGACATGATTATTCTACTTCCTTAGCAATTTGCGTAACATTAATACATAACCCGCTGAAATATGGCTTCGGTAGTAAACAGTAAATTATACTACGCGATGCTTTAAATCGCAAAATCAGAAATATTGGTAGGTCGTTTGCAATTTGCCTCGATTGCTGGTTGCAGAACACGGTCTGTTGAAATATATCGTGTACTGTTTGCCTGGTGTAAGTTACTGCCTACTCTGCATTTTTGTTTGTTTCTAGTGGCTATAGTGCGGTATTATTACATAGAGTTAAGGTGGCTCCCTACAGTTTTAGGTCTGTGTCGCGGAAATTTTGTCCACGCGCGAGATTAGTAGTGCTACTTGCAACACGCGTGGTTGACGTTGCACGCGTGGCGGGTTTGTTAAAATTGCGTCGTGATATACACGCGCGAGCCTTCGTGGGATTGTCGGCTGGTCGCGCGAGGAAATTGAAATCCTGATTTTTGTGACGTCACATAGATAGAAGTAAATGTATTTTTCTCGTGTTTTCTTCGGTAAAATTTTTTAAAACTTCACACACTGTCCTGTAATCTTGAAGTGCGTAAAATGTGCAAGTTTTACGAAAATCGTACGAGCCGAATTTTTTTTATTCCAAAAACAGGGCTTTTTGAGGATTAAAAAAAAATTCTCGTACGATTTTTTTTAAATGCTATCATTTGATGGAATTATAGATAAGATTACTGTGTGCAAAAAATTAAAAAGTTTTACCGAAGAAATTTTCAAAAAATTATCAAAGAATCTGCAAATTGGGCCTTTTTAAAATCGCTTTGTTACCATGGCAACGGGGATTTTTAACGACATTTTTTCTTTTTCGTAATTCTCTATATTGTAGCAGTTATGTGGCCAAGTTTCGTGATCATTCTTTGCAAGATGATAAATAATGGTTTTTTGAATACAATTGTGTGCTGTACAATCAAAACTGTAGGGAGCCACCTTAAATAGATAAATTCCATACGAACTAACCTCGGTACAAATACTGAAAATGCAGAATAGTCACTAACTAAAATCAAGTCAACATTACGCTAAATACTTCGACAGACTTTGATTATTATAGCCAGCGATTGAGGCAAGCTGCAAACAACCTACCATAATTTCTGATTTTGGGATTTACAGCATCGCGTAATATAATTTACTGTAGAAGCAATATTTCAACGTGATATGCAAATTACGAAGGAAGTAGAATAAATCATGTCCGTGATTTCTGGCCATGATTTTTTAACGAAACCAATTTATCCTTTTTGCTAGCACAGAAGTTATTTCCGGTAGAAATTTTGTGGTTGGTGAAATGATGCCATTTCCGAATAACTGTGTGAAAATGTATTAGATATCATGCTGATATGGAATTGCTTCTGGTACTAGATATAGTTCTACTTAGATGAAAAGAATGAAAAACGTTTTCGATGTTTTGGGCGAAGTACTTTCGTCAGAAGAATAGAATTTGCTGACGAATTAGGGTCTTCGCTCGAAATATTGAAGTTTTTTCAATCTATTTCAGATTCAAACCATGCACTGCCGTTTATTGGAGAATACTACATACACTGGACCCTCCTTAATTGCCAGGTTACCAGTGTTTGTTATTACCTTGAGTGTGTCTGTAATAGCAGTCTGTCCCTCCTGTCCTACAATCAGTTGATGGGGATACAGTCTGTTGATCAGATGTTGACTTGAATTGAACGGCAGATAATTCTATAACAGGAAAAATATCAGATATATAATATAAAGTTGGGGGAGCGGCTTGAAGTTGAATTTAGGCGTGGGGGCCGGCGTCTGAGGGCATGTTCCCCTGGTAAAATTTCTAACACATTGACAAACTTGAAAAGAACACCATGTATACTAAAGTTTCATGATTGGCCGTTTATTATTGAATTGTTGCACATGCAGCTATATAAATCGCCAGCAACGCTGCATAATTGAACCAGGTGCAACGCAGATTCTATCTAAAATACTTAATTAAGCTAGCCCTCTCTATCCTTTAAAATAAAGATTATTTAAAATTATTAAATCAGCCCTTGAAATACGTATATCATGCAATAGTTGTGTGTAATTGTTACGCGAACACTTATTATTTCTTTAGAAGAAATATCTCGATTTCTGATTGTCTAACACACAAACAGTCAAGATTATTGCACGTTATGACGTCATTCCATTATGAGCGAAAACGAATACTTTCTCTTTCGACCGCTTGCAGACTTTAGGAAAGCAAAAAATTAAAACAAATAAAGAGTAAATGAATACCAAACAAGTGACGAAAGGACCAGAAGTAGTTTTTGATAAACATTTCAAAGAAAGGAAGAATTTTTACGCACAGATCTTTTAAATAAATAATAAAACAATTATTTGAATTTGGATTTCACATGATATGAATTGTTATCAAGGCCTCTGCTTGTGCCAATTCAGCTTTCAGCCTCGACAGGTAACATGATTTTTCATATCATTCTCAGTAATTCATTTGACAAATGACCTATATACCCAAGCTTACCGCAGCTCTCATGGTTCCTACGTCAATTATTTTAGTAAACACATATTACTAGGGTTGCTTTCAGGAAAACAGCTAGGCAACTGTAATTTTCGACAACTAACCATAATATCAACGACATATTTCAAATTTTCAATTGGAAAATCTGGCATCCCCAAAGACAGCAGTTCCGACGATTGAAGAGTGTAAGCAAAACTGACAAGGTTTGCCAGCCTAAAAACAAAATTTTTATTGTTAGTAATTGACACGTACTGGCTCCAAATTTACATCACAAAGTTATATTAAATTATTTCATCACGGTTGCCTATCAATTAACTTTGTTTTTCAAGGGCCTGAAATAGCTTACAGATGAAAATGTACAAAAAACGTACAAACAAAATCTTAATTACGTTTTATATTTTAAATGCTGGTTCCAGATCTTTGCAAACTTATAAATTAATTATAAATCTTTTTTATAGGGTTTGTATAGCAGATTTATAAAAGAACCTAATAATTATCCTTTATAATATACATGTTATATAAGAACGTTTTTGATTGGCTGAAATGCGTGCTCAATATCGTGAATGATGGCTGCCAGTGAACTCTATAAAAACTGGAACCATAACTTGGGCTTTGTTTTTGAAGCCAAGATGGCGGAAATTGAAGTTTGTCTTGCACAAATCTCTATGTTCTTGTAGGTATGCCCTACGTATAAGGCCCTACGTGGAAATTCACCGAGTTCAGTACGATAGATAGATAGGTTTATTAAAAAGAAACACATTGCAGTCTACAATGACTGAATTGCGTGTTATTTTACAAAAGATGTTAAGTTCTATGGAGCTATAATTTACAGGAACATTTTAAATATAAAGTTAATAAAATATATACTATAAGTATTTATAAATAGATTTATGAAAATTTATGTTGAAAGGTTATATAAAATTGAGAATCTAAGAAAATTCTTTGATGCACGCCGGTATAAAAGTTTTTAAAAATCTATCTGTTTTTATCTTTGGAAGATGAAACTCTCGAGTTTTTCTGAAATCGTAGTTCGCAGAGTAACGATCTGGCAGAAGGGATGATAATTTATGATGTGATTGTTGATGAGTTGATTGAATAGTTTTGAGCAGGCCTTGTATCGCCGATCACTGAGGGGAATAAGGTTGCATTTTTGCAAACGCTCGGGATACGGCAAGCCTGGGAAAATTATTGAGGTGACTCTTCTTTGGACTTGCTCAATGGCGTCACTAAGATAGGTAGGCAGGGCAAAATGGAAAACTTCGCAGCTGTACTCGAGTACAGGCCTTACACATGTGCAGTAAAATTTAATTATATCTTTGGCGGGCACTTTTGCGCGTTTAAGCTGTATAATGAAGTATTTTCGTTTGTTGACCTTCTTGATCATTTCGGCAACGAGTTTGGACCATTTCAAGTCGTTACTGATTGTCAGACCCAAAACGTTTCAGCCGACTACTGTACTTTTCATAATTTTTCAGCCGACTATTTTTCAAGTCCGGCTTTACCATGGCCCTAAGAAACTAGAGCAAGTGGTCTTTCAAAATAAGCAAATTTTAGAAACATTTCATCGTAAAAAGCAAAGTTATTTGACGAGTGAAAATCAATTTCAGAAAAAAACCCCGCGGAGAAACAACAACAAACTTTTGTTTTTCTGGACTATCTATATGAGGGATTTGAATTGAACACAGAATAATATGGACGAAAGTTGCATCAATCTTACCTGTTCATTTAGCTTTTAGCTTTTACGTGTGTACTTGCCACTAAAAATGAGCGTTTATGTGCAAAAATTGAAAAACATCGATCACAGGCACCCCAAAAATGCGTGGTGAAGATTTTTATCCTCGCGCGTGGCGCTCGGACGTGCATCGAGTCTACTTTGTTTATTATTATGACACGCGTGTTTTATGGTTTTATACCTACAAGCAATCACTCTATATGCGGGACGACAGTTGCCGTCCCGCCGTCACAAGATAAAGCTATTTGATTGGCTGGCTGAAGGCCGACTGAAATCTTCGCCAACCAGAGAGCTTTATTTTGTGACGTCGAGTCGGTAGCCGTCATCCCGCATAGGTTTGAAAAAATTGACTAAATTGAGTAAAAAATTTGATGAATTCACTCATGGGTGTGTATTAGCGATAATGCAAACCTCACTTCCCTTGTGGTCTTCACCACTACACTCTGCGCATGTCTGGATGCGTTGATATCATCGTGTTGTACCGCATGCCTTGGCTCATGCGGTATAAATATGAATGTATCACGTATCTAGACGTGTACCAAGCTGCACTGACGAGGCGAAGAACGCCGAAACATGCATGTCTGCAGATTGTATTATGTATGTACATATACAGAGAGAGAGAGAGCTCACTGGTTCATACTAGCAAGACTTTTCTCCTGCTGGTGCATGAATGTGATTGAATGAATGACATGGAATCGCCGAGGAAATCGCTAGTGCGAACCATGCTTCTGGTTTTCGTCAAAAATGTACCTTTCTTTAGAAACATCAGGACCCGCACTTTCCATCAGATTTTGCAGTTGTTCCTAAATAATTTAGAAACATATTGTTGAAATTTATAGCACTTTTTAAAATAACTATGCATGTCATCCTATATAGTGATCTTCATGCTTAATTTCATAATATTGTGCACAATTATGTCAAATGAGGGGAAAAATCAAATTCACCGTTTATCAGTTATTTGTAGTCGTGACCTCGAGAAACTCTATTACTATTAATTCTGTTGTAAAAAGGCTTAATGTAGAATAAACGTTTCAGACAAAACCTACACTTAATGACGAAATCATTAGGTGAATAGAGAGATTCAGATTTGACTTCCACTACCACTACCTTTGACACGCATTTGATTGGTTAATCGGGTAGATTAAATGCATCTGATTGGTTAATAGCAACGGTAGTGGTAGTATAGTTAAATGAATAAATAAATTTCTAACAGAAAATAACACAGTGAATAACATGAATTTCACAATGGATTTTCTTGTCTTGTCAGTGGTACTCCGATTCAGAGCCTGAGGTACGAGGAAAAGAAGCCTGGGTACAAGGAAAGAGCCTAGGTACGAGGAAAGAGCCTGGGTACGAGGTTGATTCCAGTTTTCTCCTGTTGTTATATTTGTGATTTAATAAAGTTAGTTCAGAAATTTTGATCCACACATGCCACGGTCGTGACCATACATAACCTTATAAGAAAGTCTCGGGATATCTCTGGATTGGAATCGCGATCGTAATGGGGGATCCAAAGGATTGCCGGGATACCGAGGCACAGGTACACCAAGTGCAAACACTCGAAAATCTTCATTCACTCGAAGTAACTTCCATCTGTCTAGTTCTTCCTTGCTGTGGTCCTAGAGAAACCCCAACAATACAAGAACGTCAGGCCAGGGAAAACTAGAAAACATTGTTGCGGAAACACGAAAAGTTCAAAGTTTTTTGGAATGTTTTCCGTTCGCCCACGCTTTGTAACACTGTCAATCTCGGAACAACATTTGCTTCAGAGCAAGCATGTTTTGCAACAAAATTAGAAATACTAAATGTGATTTTGTTGCGGAAACATTGTTTCCTGGTTTAAGATAATATTCCCACAATATTTTTCTTAGGTTTGCCACTTTTCCCTACACATACGTATAGGAAAAGCTACGGGCTGAACAAATGAACCAAGAATAACTTAGCTGAGTCAAACGAGTTCAGTTTCTTGATGCGGCTGCGATAAGGGGTGTACGTTTCAGAGGAGTAAAGAAACGCAGGTAGGACAATTGCTCGATTAACTTTGCACTTGATTGAGGTACAGATTCCCGATTGTGACCAGAGACGTTCGTATAGTTTTCCAAACGATCTGCACGCGCTCCGAATTAGAATACGGTTGTTGACCTCTATATCTACCTGTCATTTAGCATTATCAACGCAACTGCAAGTATTCTACCCACGCATGAAACGCAACCCATATAACGCACACTGGAGTGACTTATCAAAGTCAATGATAAAAAAACAAACCTTAAGAAGCGAATCATATCTTTTAGCTGACACAAGAAATCTTCCATCATCAAGTTGCATCTCCCTAAAATTCGAGAAAAAAAGTTTCGCAAGTTTCAACTCGCATATATATTGAAAGACGTAAAATACTACTAACAACGTAGTAATTCTAGAGGCCTATACACTGTAAATTTCAAGGAGTCTAATCAACTCCAAAAGTGTGATTCTGTAATCGTTTTAGACGGTTTTTGGTTACAGAATAAAACTTTTTGAGTTGATTCAACTCCTTGAAATTTACAGTGTACCCTGGGATAGTAACTCGCCTTAATTCGCCGCGAGATAATGACAATTTAGGAGGCGAGTTAAAGTGAATTAATTCATGCACCCATTTTAGTTTCTGGACGCTAAAGTCTTTATTCAGCTTACTGTAGATTAAACATTTTCCCTCAGGATAGAGTGCTTTTGCTACGTGATCCTACGTAATATGAGGTGCGTTAATTGTTGGAAATCAGAAAAACAAATGAGTACTATAGCCAAGTTGCTACATCAGTTCAACGTGACAATAGCTGACTGAATAATACCGGAATGACATAAATCTACTCGTAAGTTTTACCTGTTTTCCAACAAGTTATTTAAAACTGGTAAAACGTTTCTTTCTGTTTTTTCTATTCCATCAAGGATCAGCACACGTCCTTCTAAAGCAGCACGAACAGAACTCTAAATGTAATGAAGAGAAAGATTTCTTAAATTATCGTAAATCTTGAGGAGTTAATGCAGTCTTATTAACCGACATCATCACCAACAATTATAATTTAAAATTGCATGCGATAAGACTATTAATCTTACTGATGGTCTTGACTATGAGTCAAACATTGTTGTGGAAAGTCCAAAGCAAACTTTGCTTTCCAGAAAGCAAAAAACGTTTCCTAACAAATTCAGAAACTTGAGGAAGAATTTTCCCCCAACAATGTTTCCTATAGTTTGCCCACGGCTTTATTGACAAACTATATATTTTACGGATACATCATTACATGTATACCATGCGATAAAAAGTTATGGCGAAAATCTTACTTGGTTTAGGTAATGAGAACTACCAGATGCAATTTCCCTTCTTTGCTTCAAATCAGACTCAGTAGTATCACGACTCAAAGCAACATATTCAATTTCACGTTGCGTAAGCTCCTGAAAGTGGAAAATACGACAGGTTTTGAATTTATTCTTCGTAACAACGTACATAGAGCAAGATCGCATAAACCTATTACGTTCTTGGACGCTATTTGTGGAAAAGGCGCTTATTGAGAAACTACATAACCCCACCAATGGTTTTTACTTATCCATTACACACTGGTATACATGGCTCAATGTCCATGTCTCCGCTTCATATAAAGCCACATTCAAAATCGGAGATTTTTTTATATTTGGATTTAATTTTCCTGATGGTATTTATTTACGTTTGTCAAAAGCATTCTTTGCCATTCAATTCGTGATCTTATTTCAACACTATTTCAGAACCATCCTCAGAGATAGGAAAACTAGTTTCATATTAATCTGACACTGCAATCGAGCAACGAAAAATTCGTTGGCTCGAGCGGGATTTGAACTCGCATCTTCGGGTATCTAGACCGCCGCTCTACCTATTGAGCTATCGAGTCAACAGGGATTGGTAGCGAGTCTTATCCAATTTAAGTGCACGAAATATTTTCGTGACGACTTAACGCTTGTCTTTGAGGACGCGCAGTGTTTCAATTCTATTTCAGAACCATCCTCAGAGATAGGAAAACTAGTTTCATATTAATCTGACACTGCAATCGAAGACAA